CTTCCTTGGGTCCGCAATAGCTAGAGTGGAGGCAGTTGTGACAGCGGTATTCCTTGGTGCAGGGATGGTTTTCGGGATGATCGTAACGGTGGTCGCAACGTTCGCAGTAATGGACAGAGCCATAAAAAGCGGACATGGAAGTGATGGCATCGTAGTGCTGATCATGATGGTATACATGCAGCACGGTGGCGTGGGGTGGAGCCTCATCACACTTGTACAACAGTCTCTGGTCCACCTCTTGACTGTAGACTTTCAGTTGATAATTGAGGGGGGCAAGGTGCGTCCCACGCGTGCGAGGTCGTCCAGGCCCTGACAGGGACCTTCAGGCAGGCCAAGGCATCGAAACAAGTTCCGTGCCCGTATGCCTTGAACGTCAACGCGATCCGTTCTCGTCAGTCTCTTTCGCTCGGCGGTCCATTCTGGGGTCAAAGGGTAGGGCTTCTGAGCATAATGCTGTGCCACCACCAGGGCCCGTGCCAAACAGGATTGATCTTGGTTCTCGATCCGTACAATGCACTGTTTGCGTGTTAAAAAAGCTTCGAGTCCAATCACGTTTTTCAGCCGGGGAGCACCACTGCCCGATCCTAACCTGTCGGGATCTGCGACGTGTACTAAAGTCACAACCATGGTGGCATCGATGTTCAGGTCTTTGTTTGACTGTTGGACTTTTTCCACGGCATGCAAAATATTGAGCCCATGGAGATCTTCAAAGCGACAAAAGGGAATCCGTATTGGGGTGTTCAAAGCGGGATGATCGATACCTAGACCAATACGATCTCCCTTCTGGCATGACATCTGTTCATAAAAGTCATCGATTACCCTGTCAAATAAAGATTGCAGTTCCATGGGAACACGTTCCGGTGGTACGGTGTCCAAGTAGTCTGGGTTGAAAGTCAAACGATACGTATGGTTAGTGGTTCTTAACCGTCTGGAGCGGATGGTATCTACCCTCTCAAAACGATAGGGCGTACTTTGGTTGCTCGTCATGATAGCGATGCGTGTCTGATGAACGTCTGTACTCTAAGAGGGACTGAACGTCTGATGGATGGACAACCCTTCCCCAAAACAGGATCGAAATCGGACCAATCCAAAGCCTGGGTTGTCGACCAATCAGAAGACAGCACCGACCAATCAGAAGACAGCACCCGAGCCGAGTTGTGCTTTCTCTCCCATAGTAAAATCAATTCCTATGGAAAAGAAACACAGGGGTCGGGTCGTTTTAGAAAACAGAGGTGCAGAGCAGGCACCGGAACGAACCAATCCGCGCGTTGCGTTTTGGACCAACCAGGAAGCAGCCATTTTCGATCCGGTTCTTCTCCTATAAAACAAGAGTGGATTCGAGTGGACCAGTGTCACTTGTAAAATTGATGTGATAAAATCAAGAATGGCTGAAACAAAGAAGAGTGGTACGGCGACGCGTGGCGAAGATGTGGTTATTGATAGTACAAATACTCGTGGATGTTGGAGTAAGAGTAATGCCGAGGATGTGGTGTCACTGCTCAGTCAAACGCCATCGCACTATTATCTACGCTTTGAAGAAGGCTCGCTTCGTTTGAGGCGTGGCCAACGCAAATGTATCAGACTGCTGAAGAGATGGCCCACGCGGCTTTGTCTACACTCAGGGTGCCGATGGTGTGTGCTGTTTCCAATGTGGGGTGCGGCACCCCACGACCATCCTTTGGCGGCACATAACAAGTGGTCCCCAGACTGCGATTACCTCAAGCTAACCGGTCTGGTGAAACACCAGAAGCAGCTACAACTACACTATCTCTGCGAAGAGAAACAGAGGTACACGAATGACGTAGCACGGCCGGCTGCCTAGGAGGACGTTTCCCGTGTCCTGCGTTTCTGTCCAAGTTCCCATTCAAGTTCCCGTTCAAGTTCCCGTTCAAGTTCCTGTTAAAATTATTTTCTTTTCTTTGTTGGACCCACAAGTGGTGCCACGGTGGGCACCCCGATGGCATACCCAGATGGCTACAAGTACCGCTTCGACGATCCTTGTCTTGTCATGAAGCTTGGACATGATCATTCTTCTTGGACAGCAGCAGAAAAGTTTTTTCTTCCCCAAAACGGTCCTTTTCAGGGCCACCCATCTCACCCAAAAGACAACTTTCATCCTTTGCTTTGCCAACCCCTACCCTCCAAAACAAAGAACCCACCCACTCCCCTAGACCTCTTGGAGGCACACGTCTAAAAATACAATAAATAGATATATAAATAGATCAATAGAGACACGTAGTACACCACGTCAAACATCACGTGTGCATGAAAACACGTGTCACAGTACGTCTGTCGACTTACACGGGTGTCAACACCTCGGTATCCTTAAATAATAATAATAATAATAATAATTTGAAAACACATACACACATGTCACTACGTTTGCATGGCAACACACAAAGTACATGACGTTCACATCGCGACACGAAGTCCATGACGTGTGCAAACGTCACGCAGGTGTATCGATCTTTTCTCTATTCATCTCAATACTACATTGTACATCAATGGTTGTAGTCACACACACACACACACACACACACACACACACACACACACACACACACACACACACACACACACGACACCACGTTTTGCCTGACAACACGCTATTCTATGCATCAACGTCAACGTCTGTTTAAAGACATACACACTCACACACACACATGACATTCCGATTGGCATGGGGGTGACACGACGTACATCACGTAGGCATTCCCACGTTCATGTCTACCTATGAAGGTCCACCTTCCTTTAGCATTCAGACGACCGTCTACCTAAAAAATACCAAGGCTACCCAAGAAAAACCGGATCGAAATCGGACCAATCCGAAGCCTGGGTGGTCGACCAATCAGAGGCGGCGCTCGGGCCATGCGGGGCTCTGAATGGTCGAACCGGGGTTGTGCTTTCTCTCCCATGGTAAAATCCATTTCCTATGGAAAAGAAACACAGGGGTCGGGTCGTTTTAGAAAACCGAGGTGCTGACCAGGCAGCGGAACGAACCAATCGGAGCTGCTGCCTGGCGAACCAACCAGGAGGCAGGGTGTCAGTGCCTCTCCTATAAAACAAGAGTGGATTCGAGTGGGTCAGTGTCACTTGTAAAATTGATACATCATCATGAGCAACAGCAACAGCAACAGCAACAGCAACAACATGAAAGAAAACTGGGATCTAGAGATCGCCACAGTGACACAACCTTTGCCCGGGTGGAAAGAAGCATCACCACCACCACCATGGTCTCCACCGTGGCAATGCAGTAGATGTCAAGGGGGTCTGCCCGTGTACGCTTTTGGTACAAGGGCATGGGATGGAACTTTCAAGTGCGTCAATTGCGGCACTGTGCTGAAGGACACCTACGTGCGTTGGTTAACGCACACCAGTAGGTGTCCTGTCAGGAGACAAATGAAAGTCCACCCGTGCCTTTGCACCATTGCGTGCACCTGCATGTAAACATCAAAACGGCCCTTTTCAGGGCCACCCATCTCTCCCGAAAGACAACTTTCCTCCTTTGCTTTGACGAACCTCCAACCCCCCACACCGTGAACCCACCCCGCCTCCTCCCTCCCTCCCTCCCTTCACCACCACCACCCCCACGTCTATGTGTAGAACAACAACAACAACAAAAGATTTTTGACGCGCTTCTTTCAATGTCGATCCTGTTCATCTTTTACGTGCGCTTCTCCGGGTTTTCCCCATCCTCCCCGGAAACGGAGGTGCCGCCAACTTGAATGCGTACGCCACCGGAAACGGATGTGCCGTCATCTTGGAGGCGCACGCCACCGGAAACGGATGCGACGCCATCTTGGATGCGCACGCCACCGGAAACGGATGTGCCGCCATCTTGGATGCGCACGTCTTTCCATGACATTCGAGTGAATGAGTGAGTTTGGTTTTACGTCGCTTTAAGCAATATTTCAGCAATATCATGGCGGGGGACACCAGAAATGGGCTTCACACATTGTAGCCATGTCGGGAATCGAACCCGGGTCTTCGGCGTGACGAGCGAACGCTTTAACCACTGTTCAAAGCGGAGTTAAACCAACTCACTCACTCACTTACTCACAACAGGTGAGGTGTTTGTTGCCTTGAATACCTCCCAAACCACAGCTCCATCGCAACCATATAGATGCATTTCCTTGATGCAGTTTGGAGCCGATCATTACCCTCTGCGACAATATATACAAGAACGACCATCGTTATAGAATAGGATAAATCTGCTTTCGTCAGGGAAAAGAACTCTCTGCCAGTCAACAATCTGTCCTTGACGAGTGTCGTCTTCGACGCTGATGTTCATGGGTCTAGGTTATTCCATGCAAGAGGCTTTAGGATTGGATACCTCAGACTCAGAGACATTGTAGCACAGTGCTGCCGTGTCTGTCGCTGTGACGAACCTGTTTTGCAAATGCAAAGTATGCAAGAACCAGTCATCATGTGCTATCGACAGGCTTGGTCAGCCTGAGCTTGCCCTGCCATGTGTACTGCTCGTCTGTATGAAACGCTCAAACTGTCTATCGATTGTTGCGCATGAACAGCAGAAAGTTTCTTGGAATCTGTATGGGGTATGGGGGTTGGCACCATTTGTCTCATTCCTACAACACTCTCACTCTGTTGTGCAGTTAATGTTTTGCGCTTTTGCATTATTTGTGGTATTTTGGCAATGATCCATTGCATTTTGTTAAGTTTCTGACATCCATTTTTACGGATACCTAATGCGATTTTTGCTGCAGCACGTACATCTTCCAGCCAACCTTAGGTTTTCAGTTGACCTCAATTCGTTTAAAGGGACACTTTTTCATATTACAAAACCGTGACTTAAGTCCAATCTGTTAAAAGAAGGAAAACCTTGTTCATATAAATGAGATTATGTTTTTTCAGTCATATGTATGAAACTTATATTAACACAAGAACGATACCTGTACTGTATGACGAAACGCTGAGAGCGAGATAACATAATTTCTTACACCTAAATACAAATCTCCATGTACTGTGTTGTGTCTTTGCAGTGATATTGAAGCTCTTGCGGAACATAATGGGCGTGTGTGGTTCTCAACTTGCAGTGGGTAAGATATTGTTTGTATACTTCAGTACAAACCTTAGGTGTTCAGTTGCGTGTGTGGTTCTCAGCTTGCAGTAGGTAAGCTATTGTTTGTATACTTCAGTACAAACCTTAGGTGTCCAGTGGCGTGTGTGGTTCTCAGCTTGCAGTAGGTAAGATATTGTTTGTATACTTCAGTACAAACCTTAGGTGTTCAGTGGCGTATGTGGTTCTCAGCTTGCAGTAGGTAAGCTATTGTTTGTATACTTCAGTACAAACCTTAGGTGTTCAGTTGCGTGTGTGGTTCTCAGCTTGCAGTAGGTAAGCTATTGTTTGTATACTTCAGTGCAAACCTTAGGTGTTCAGTGGCGTGTGTGGTTCTCAGCTTGCAGTAGGTAAGCTATTGTTTGTATACTTCAGTGCAAACGTTAGGTGTTCAGTGGCGTGTGTGGTTCTCAGCTTGCAGAAGGTAAGATATTGTTTGTATACTTCAGTACAAACCTTAGGTGTTCAGTTGCGTGTGTGGTTCTCAGCTTGCAGTAGGTAAGCTATTGTTTGTATACTTCAGTACAAACCTTAGGTGTTCAGTGGCGTGTGTGGTTCTCAGCTTGCAGTAGGTAAGCTATTGTTTGTATACTTCAGTGCAAACCTTAGGTGTTCAGTGGCGTGTGTGGTTCTCAGCTTGCAGTAGGTAAGCTATTGTTTGTATACTTCAGTGCAAACCTTAGGTGTTCAGTGGCGTGTGTGGTTCTCAGCTTGCAGTAGGTAAGCTATTGTTTGTATACTGCAGTACAAACCTTAGGTGTTCAGTGGCGTGCGTGGTTCTCAGCTTGCAGTAGGTAAGATATTGTTTGTATACTTCAGTGCAAACCTTAGGTGTTCAGTGGCGTGTGTGGTTCTCAGCTTGCAGTAGGTAAGATATTGTTTGTATACTTCAGTACAGACATGTGAAAGTAGGCTCACAGTCGTCTTTCCCATTCTGGTATGTACTCACTGAATTATCATTCCCCCGCTTTTCCACAGAATTTCAGTTATATCACGTCATCACAGGTTCATGTGGATAAAGGGGCGGTCGGGTAGCCTAGTGGTTAAAGCGTTCGCTCGTCACGCCGAAGACCCGGGTTCGATTCCCGACATGGGTACAATGTGTGAAGCCCATTTCTGGTGTCCCCCGCCGTGATATTGCTGGAATATTGCTAAAAGCGGCGTAAAACCATACTCGCTCGCTCGCTCATGTGGATAAAAACACAAAGTGATGCAGGTCTCACACGTTTACCATTTTTTCTGAAACCCATGACACATGTATGGTTCTTTCACAATTGGACACATTAACTGGGATTCAAATCCACATTGACCTCCTGAATAAGAAATGTATGTGTCATTATGCATGTACATACATCACATATATCCATTAAAGCTGTTCTTTCTACTCCAAATAAATTCGGCGATTTATTTCCTTTTCATTAAAATATAGTTGGTATATTTGCCACTGTTATAGCTGAAATTGAAATTATATTGATATATGATTGTAGTTATCAAGCAAGTTATTATAATGTTGTTTGTCCATAAAATATGATATTTGAATATCTTTCCAAGCAGAGACATCAATTACATGTTTCTTTAATCAAATAGTGAGAATATAAGATACTTAGCCTGTTATGACATTCTGCATTATCCTTCTTTCATCTTGACTTGTGATCGAGGCAAAAACACTGTCTTCACTGTCCAGACATGCACCGCCCATCCTATTAAGCTTTCGGTACTTCCTTCATTCTAGAACACTGAAAGGACTCTGGCTGTGGTCCAGGATAGGCAGGAAAGGTATCCGAAATTCTAAATGTTTGATTAAACAAATTATTTACGTGAGCCTGTTATCACATTCTGCATTATTACACACCCAAGGTATAGGGTAGGCCTGTAAAGCCTTTTAAAGCCTCTTGAAGACCATGGAACTGTAAGTGAATGGCTAAATGGTGGCAGAAAATTTGGGAAGCCACCACAGTATCCGCTACCCTCCATCTGACAATCTGCAAGGATCTAACATGATGCAGTTCATAAGGCACGGGTGCAAGTTATCTACTTGGAGAGCAAATGTTACATAATAATAATTAATGATTTATTATCTTCAAAACAAGGAACGCAAAGCCAGATGTGTGTGAGGTAGGAAAATACATTTATACGAGGAACCGCACAAGGTATCGAGCCAAAATGTTGTGGAGAGAACACTTTGTGATTGTAGTCATCTCAGTCATGGTACATAGGGAAAGTCCATGGTGATGGTCAGCTACTATCAATAACGTGTATGTCCCCTGCTGGAAACGATAGCGGCCTGACATTTCCTGCCCATGGAAAAGACAAGTATGCAAATCACATCCTGTGCCCACTCGGCAAAAGCCAACGTACTGCTGCAAAGTCTGGGGTTGTGGTTGACGTTTGCGTAGCCATCTATCCAATTCATCCCACATGTGCTCTATTGGGTTCAAATCCGGGGATCCGGATGGCCAGGGGAGAACAGGCGGTTGTGTAGACAGGCTCTTGTGATACCGTGCTGTATGCGGTCGAGCCTTGTCCTGCTGGCTGAAATTGGGAGCATGTGTGGTAGAAGAATTTCGTTGATGTATCATTGAGCCGTAAGATTGCCCTGGATATGGATCATACCTGTCCTGCTATGATGAGAAATAGCCTCCAACATCATAACGCTAACCCCACAAAACCTGTCCACTTCCTGTCCGCAGCTTCCGGCGTAACGTTCTCCCCGACATCTGTAGACCAGTGCCCTTCCATCCCCTCAATGGAGGAGAAATCTTGATTTGTCGCTGAAGCAGACATCTCTCAATCGCAGTTGAGGCCATACCCTGAGTTTACGACACCGATGCAGTCGTTGTTGACAATGTTGTTGACTCAACGGTTTAAACGGTTTGACTTAAATGGTTTCGTACAGTCTGGTCGGAGAATCTGTGCAGTCCAGTTGGGATGCGGTTGAGGTGGCTGTGGTCGTCCTTTCACGTAGGTGGCTCACTCGGATGAAGCGATCTTGGGCGCGAGTTGTTACCCTTGGTCGTCCCGACCATGGACGATCACGTGTTGACCCATGCTGTTGAAACAGATGCCATATCCCTGTGATGGTGCTAGGCGCTACATTGAAAACCCTGGCTATGGCTGATCGGGATTCCCCTTTCTGCAAGCGTCCTATGACGTTGTTTCTTTGCACCTCTGTTTATCTTGGCATGTTGTTGAGCTGTCACTGTTTGATTCACGCAGATGCCAGGCAATAAAAAAAACTGTACTTTAATACCATTCATAGTGCTGCTGCACATACAATACGTGCAGCTCCATGACCCTTTTGTTAATGCACTGGGTGCGTTTTTCCGAATGTTTTCCCGACTAATGGTTAGCATCTCCTTGTGGTGATCATTTTCATCCAGGAAATTTGTAACTGACACTATAGCACATTAAACCTCTTCATTTTGCACCTCTTGATCCGCTAGGTTTGCTTTTATGGCAAAAAATATCCGTGTTGCGTTTTTGTTGTTGAAGAGTATATATAGAGCATCGTATTCAGATATTCCCAGCTAAACATGCTCTCCTTTCTGGAGAATAGGATGAGATTGGGAAAACAACTTCATGGTTGTCAATAAGGTGTACTTTCTGGAGTAACCAAAAGTAGAAGGAGGGGTGAAAGAAATGCGTATTCATTGGCGTGTTTCCAACTTATTGCAAAGTCTTCATGATCCCAGACATGGAGATCTGGTACTGAAGACAAGAAAACCAGCAGTTGATGATTGAACGGAATGGCAAACAGGTCGATGTTTGGAGAGCCAAGCTGTTGATACACAAGACAGATGCATTTTCCATTCCATAAGTTGACTGTTTGGACATTGGTCCTCCACAGAATGTGCCGAGCTTAGCCTCATGTGCATAGATTCGATCAGCTGGTTGACCTTCTTATTGATGAAATGAGCCACAGTTGAATTGATGCCAGTGCCAATGTTTGAAGAATTCCAGACAATTGATGTGTGGTGTTTGTAGTTCAGTTGACCAGACATATGCTAATGTCTTTTGATTGAGATAAGCACGCCGTTCCTCCATGTAGACGCCGGCAAAGAGGTGATGAGTGGCCTGAAGCTATGTGAAGGAGACGTTGTCAAAGACGTTTGCTGCCAGGAGCTTCCATTACTGGTATAATATCGGTGAATATCCTGATCTTTGGGAAACAAAGCTGATGGATCATCCTGAAGTAGATATGGATACAGAACCACTGTAAATTACGTAAACTATGCAGACGTCCCCGAAAAGTGGTTGCTAGCAGACGTTAAGAGGCCCAGAAGTTGATGCCTCTAACGAACCGCTGGTTGCGTGTGTAAAGCTGGGTGAAGTAACGATTCAGTCTTGAGCACTCGATCCTGTAGCACTAATAATAGATTCCAACCGGCATATGATCTCATGTACACACCAAGAATGTTATCCCTGTAGCATACACCTGTCATCGTCCCCCACTGTGGGACATGGAGATCAGTTCTTCCAGTTCTACTTATCCCACCTCGAATCATTATTGAGCCCTCTCCCAAGCAGTCATGTTTGACTGTGCCACACTCATCAGTGAAAAGTTCTGAAGCCCAGGCCTGATTGAAATGATTTTCAACCCAATCCAAAACTGTGATGTCTGGTCAGTGGGATTCGAATGCATGCCCTCTGTGACTGGGCGATTATGCAATGCCACTGACGTTCCTCAGTCTTTTCTAAGTCTGGTGGCAGTCACAAAGTGATGACAGCTTGTTGCTATCAGAAGAAACCTGTCTGGAATGCTGTCAACAACCTGTATGTTTTGATTTGTTAATTTGTTCTATAACACCGCACTCCAACGCATAGACCAACGCAATTTGTTTAGGATGATATGCATCAACCAAGTCAGCGAGCCTGACCACCTGATCCAATTAGTCGCCTCTTACGACAAGCATAGTTACCTTTTACGGCAAGCATGGGTTGCTGAAGAACTATTCTACCACGGACCTTTCACGGGTCACCTGGAGCATGTCCCTGGTTAGCATTCCCTGAAAGACAGTAACGTGATCTAGTGGACTACCACATGGTGGCAACTGTGGAACACCAGGAACATCTGAAGGCTGAAGGGGAACACCTGGCACGAGAAAACATTACCCTGTAGCCCCAAACTATGCTGTAGTACGGTGGATACAACCCAAGTGGAGGTAATTGTACTCAGCACTCCTGGTAGGCCAGGATAAGTTGAACCAACTCACAAAATGCATTTGAGACAAGTAGGCAATTCATAGAAGTTGTTCAAACATATTTGGCTTGTCACAGGTAGAGAGGGTGAAAGCATGTTGTGCACTTGCACGTGATAATGTTTGACATTTACTACACTCCCGTGGATACACGTCTTGCTCATAAGAGAGTTAAGAGATCGTTGTGTTACCAGAATGCTCTAAAGTCGTTTCATAGAAGTTATGTACAAACAAATAGACATCTCAAAGCTTGGTAAGCATACATTCTCAGGCTCAAGAACTCGTTGTTAGACACAGGACATGCACATATCCATCTATTACTTGTCGCGGACCACTGCTACTGCTTTCTTCACAATGATATGCACCAATGGGCAGACCTCAACATCTACCCTGAGGGGGGTCATTTTAACATGTTTTTTAAATTTACCCCAGAGGGTTAAATACCCCATCGACAGGTGGAGAAATTTTCGTGAAATACCCCCTGGGGCAAAGTAGTGCGTGTAAAACTAGGCCTATGATAACTGCATCACCAAACATCATCATTTCAAGTTAAAAGAGGCGTCAGAATATGTCCATTCAGAAGCATGGCAGAATGAAGGAGGAATGACTGAAGGTTAGATAGGGCAGATAAGAAGTATTTTTGCTTCTTTCAAGCATCGAGAGAAAGAGCTATAATGCAGAATTTGATAACCGGTTAAGATAAATAGGTTGTGTAATGATAATTAAGGCTCAATACTTTTAAGAGCAAATATGCACAAATATTTAAGACATGTTGTCAATCATATCCATACTCAATCCATGGAAATTATGTTCCATTAAAAGTTTTTCCCTTTTACAGAGAGAGCTGTGTTGAACGAGAAACTTAAAGCAAAAGAGGAAAAGATCTCAAATCTTGAAGAGGACAAGAAGAACAAATCTGACAAGATTGAAATCCTGCAAGAGAAGAAAAGTGACACCGATAAGCTATTGGTGAAAAATAATGAGCAAATTGAGAAACTCAAAGACGAAAACTCTGACCTTAGAACTGCGAACCGGAAGATGGTGGAAAAGATGGAGCAGTCACCAACTATTAAAGATTCGACTTTGAATTTAGTGGATCATGGGTTAAAATGGACTGGGCTTAAATAATAGACCTGTTCAAGCAATGCCGAATTCATGTTCGTGCTAGATTTTAGTCTATGACAAAAGCAGTCTACATATATTCAAAGTCTTCATGATCTTAATCTGAAAAACCATTGTGCTGCCTGAAAGTAGTTCTGACATAGTGTCATTTCACTTGCTTGACATTCGACCCTCTTTCGGATGGATACAATAGTTTATCACTAAATTAATTTAAATGTTAATTTGGGCTCAAACACATAAGAAATGACAAATATAATTCACATGCAGAATGATCTCCAGTCGGTATAAGAGTGAAAACAGTACTGTAACATTGACATTTTGCATCAGAAATTACAAAACATCTCAACAATAATGCCAAGAATATCACTTTAGCATAGGGAAAAGGCCATAAGTATGATCCAACTGGGGGCAACAACCTTTAACTGCACGCGCATTACAATCACCCGTCCTACGTCTCGTTTTCATCTAACAACCAGTACCAGGGACAGGCCCAGGAGCTGCAGACCACCCGTGACCAGGTCCAACGAAGATCGCTACCTTCTGTTTTTTGCATCTTAGGAACAAATTTGTATCAGCTGTAACCACCCTTGGTCGTCCAGTCAGACGAAGGACAGTGTCTAGGAGATTGGACTGCTTGATATATTCAGGTGCACAGATCTCTGCCAGGCGTAGCCTTAAGACACCAACATCAAATTCAGAAGTTAAGATGCGCATGGACCAGGTACTACGTTCCGTTGTCCTGCATTTTCTGCTGCAGAAAATAAACTCCCTGTTCTAAAAGGTCAACACCAGGCCACACACGGCAAGGACTACAACCAACTTTCTGCACGCCAAAGACGTCAATGTCTTGCCCTGGTCACCATGATGTCCCTTTCTGGATCGCGGGTGAGAGAAAGACCAGTGTCACCGCTCTCAAGACACGGGTTAAGGAATGGCACCAGATTCCAGCAGCCCTCATCAGACGTCTGACGTTCTCAGTTTTGCGTCGAGTTATAGCATACTTACGTGCCAAAGGTGGACACACACGTTATTGGCTGATCTTGTCATTTTAAGGATACTTTACTGTGCATGGGGACCCTTGACAACTTGATCGAATACTGAACACTGACCCCCTCATTATCCGTTAACTTTTTTGTACACATAACATATGCATAACATAATGTCTCTTAAAAATGAAATTATCTTGTTTTGTTTTTAGAAACGCGATTTTTCTTTTGCTTGTCAGTTCAGTTAATTGGGTCGATTGAAATTTGGAAGAGGAAATAATGTGTCATGTCATTCAACAATATTCTGAAAATTCGTGAGCGCACTAATATTAACTTTAGGGTATGTTACTTAAAACTGCTTCGACCTATTTGACCAATTGTATTGCCTGTTTTCTTGTAAAACTGTGTGTAGAAATATATTTTATTGATTGTTCATAGATGGTGTGTGGTCATTGACTGATTAAACAATTTCATATTGTGAAAACCTATTTCCTGATTAACATAGTCGTAGCGCTAAGATCGCTTTGTGGAAGTGGGCCATGTAGTCAACTGTCTGTTTTCACGTCTTTGTACTATCATTTCTGGACTTTCCATAGTTTATAATAAATCACATTAACCCTCTGGATGCCGAGTTTTTTTTCTGACGCATATTTTCCTAAGATAGGAAAAGTGAAGGTTGTGCGAGAATTGCGCTCACGCGGCATTGGATCTACCTCTGGCTATAAAATTACTCAGAGGTGGAGACTATTAAATTTCCTATATGATGGTGTAAATTTAACTGCAATTATTAAACCGGTTTTAAAAAGAGACACTTCTAAGTGTTGTCCGAGAATTTATTCTGCGTTGAAAAACAGTAAATTTCTCCGAACCATGCGTGAACACTGCACGAACTCGGCGCGAACACTGCCGAAGGTGCGTGTCAATGCGTGTCATGGGAATCCACTACACGCTCTGCCACGCCATGCCACGCATTGGTCACGAACTGTCCACGTTGTGGGCGCGCCTGTTCGCGCCTCGTTCACGCATTCGAGCGTGTCGCGGAGTGATCGTGCGGTCGTTAGGGTGTCGTCACGAGTTGTTCACGCAATCATGGAAAGCCCAGCTCACGCATAGGTCGCGCACGTCACGAACCATTCGCACAATGCACGAACTGCTCACGAAGTGTTTACGCATTGTTCGCGCGTAGTTCCCGACCAATGAACGACGACTTCAAGAAGTAATAGTCCTGCAGCTGCCAGATATAGACACATTCTTTGTTCTGCAATAACAGTGTCTCTGGTATTCAGCATGTTGTATCGTCCACAGCGAGTCGAGGAATGAAACGTCTCTTCTATTTGGAGTTTATGTACATACGCCAACAGCGTGACCCTAAGCGGGACAAAGCGGGACCAAAAATTGCCACGACGACTTCACGCATGCGCGAAGTCGTCGGGGCAATGCGTGGAGATGCGGGAAAACAGCGGGAACTATGCGTGTCGTGTGTGACACTGAAGGGCAATCGGTACGGTAGACGTGAACAATGCGCGAACAATACATAACCTATGCGTAGACAAGTCGTGCCACTGCGTGTCAGGGCGTGCCAATGCGGCACATTTTTGGCCGTGCATTGCGTAGACATTGCGTAACTTATGCGTGTACAGTGCGCGAACAGGCGCAAACGCGGCTTCACGCTCCGCTGCGTACCACCCAAATGGCACGCTTTGCCACGACGCATTGCGCGGCATTGCAGGGACAAAATTCGTGCAAGTGTCAGGGTGGCTTTACACATATACAAAGAAAAGGGGGCATAGCTCCGCTATGCTTAGCTCTAGTTTGTTGTAACTCAGGTCACTTGATGAGAATTAGCTGTGGGTAAGGACACTATATTTTCGTGGTGTTTTGTTCAGGAGGAACCAAGCTATTGCAACACAAATATCGATATTGAAACTGTACACGTTTAGTTATAAAATATACCCATAAGAAATGATGAAATCGTACTTTATAAAATGGAGGTAATAGAGAAATGGATGGCCTTATCTAACCTATAACTTAGTCCTTAGATTCGAACATTCTCCTGATCATCAAATGTAATGAAATACCCTAAAAATAACACCATTCCTTTTGACCTCATGGCTGGTTTTATGTCTTTAATAACGTCGGAAAAAGACGACTCTGGTATTTTGTTTAATATATATCTCCCCTAATTTTCGTTCATGGTATGGAAAATCTTGATGTGTGGAACGGAATTTGACGCATGAAATGACTGCTTTCACCTAGTAAATAATGTCTTGAATATGTCAACAATTTTATAGTTTATCATGTATCTTAATTGGACAAGACACGCACCTGTTTGGCATCAATGTACGTAATGAAATACCCAAAAGAATATTTCAAAATAACCAAAAATATATTTAATATTGGACATATATTTGTTCATTACTATGTTATTATTTCCCTTCATCTCGTCTCAGAATTACACAATAAAAGATGCGAAGAAAATTCTATTGGTATAGAATTATCAGGATAATCGTATAAGGTTGAACCAACGGGGTACCTGGCATGGATTTTATTTTGATACATTTTACAATTCCTGGAGAAATAAAGTGAACAGTTTAATATCCCGTGATCACAACATTGAAAAAAGAATAATGCAATACGAGAGGAATAATTCGTAAATTGGTTGTGACTAACGCGCACCTGGCGAATCTTTACATATCACTGTTCTGTGTATCAAACGACATAAAAAAAACAATTCCAAGACCAAGACAATTCTTTCAGAACGAAAAATATTATCCATTTTGTTAAAGTAATATATTCAGTTTTAGTTATAAAATAATTGAGTGAGTGAGTGAGTGAGTGAGTGAGTTTGGTTTAACGCCGCTTTTAACATTATTCCAGTTATATCGCGGCGTGTCAGCTTATGTGGGAGGAAAGCCCGAAGTGATGCAGGTCTCAGACGTTTACCACTTCGGTGAAACCGACGAGCACGGGTATGGTGCTGACAAACCTAGAAACATAATCGGGGCGAACCGGGATTCGAACCCACAATCATAGGTTTCTGGAATAAAAAATAAAATGAATCGGCTATTCATGGACATTGGTTATATGAACTTATAATATTGACTATTACACGTCCCAAGAAATGCGTACATGCTACAGTCACATTTACACTTCATCTTGTAACACTTGTCCAAAGGAAAGAAATATCGTATTCGACACTAAAAACCTATCATTTGTTATGTAAACAAAGTTCAAACAAACAGGAGATTATCAAAGGTTCGTTCATACATGTTGTGGCCTATATTTACGTATGATATCATTTTGAACATTGACAAATGGGATTCAGGGATCGTATATACATAAATGTGACATGTTATTGTAAGTAATCAGAAACATTCTGAAAATCTATGTACTGTTATTTGTTGTTATAAATTTCATTGAAACCAACGGAAACAGTCAGAAATTCCGATTAATACCGTTGTCGTTGTGCGTGATTTTGCGTCAGTCATGGCGTCACAGAGGACGGTAACTTTGATAATTTCTGTTGAAAATATCAAATCATTGCAATGTATCTATTTCAAATTCCATAATTCTTCCTACGATTCTCTTCCCGTGCATATTCTGAAAATGTTCAGACAATATCTAGAACGAATAGACGAATGGATAGCTCAAAATAGGAGAAAATGCTGCACTGTGTAAAATCTGAATTTTGCTTTGTTTTCATTTCAAACAAGTGCAGTTTTTCGAGCACAGCGTTCGTTTTCACACCTAACTTTCTTTGCTTGATTTCATCTAGCCACTTTGTATTGGTGACAAAGACCATTGGTCATTTGATTCTAAAATGTATGAGGAATTCAAGGATGTATGTATTGCAGCTAAGTTTGAAATATACGTGATGTTACAGGCGTCTCATAACCCGTGTACCTGAAACGTGTTTTGTAAACACTATCCAATATGGCGGAAAGTTCACTTCGGCGTTCGTGTTTGCGTATTTTCCAAAACATTCGAAACGATTCTAGGGTTATCGGAGACGTTGTGGAATGATCATTGGTGGTTTCATAAAAGAAATACCCGTGATCACTAATATGCTATTTTTGAAATTCATTTCTCCGAGTAAATATCCGAAATTTAGATTTCAAAACATGCTGTAAATAACGCCGTGAATGGTGTTAACCCCCCTGGATGCCAGAGGGACATATATACTGAACCAAATTAAAAACTGCTGCTTACCGCGACCAGGTACTGGCACAAGAACTTCTGCCTTTTATGGCAGCACCTGGACCCGGTTTGATCTTCCAACACGACAATGCCAGACCTAACACAGCAATTTTGACAAGGAATTTCCTTCAGAATGGACTGGCCGTCAAGTTCTCCCGACCTCAATCCCATCGAACACGTCTGGGATGCTCTTGGCAGAAGTCTGCGCACTCTCCAGAACCAACCACAGAATATGCAAGATCTTGGCACCATTTTGCAGCAACAATGGCGTCGTCTTCCCAATCATGTGTTCACAGGCATCACAAGGTCCATGCGGAGGCGTTGTGTGGCAGTTGTCAACGCACATGGTGGCCATACACGCTACTGAACTTGTGTGCCATCAGGATCTCGTGCTTAGGACTTATGATTGAAACTGTTGATGTTATTACCGAATACCGTAGGTGCTTGTGTTACCCAGGTCACATTCACTCAGAATGACTGAAAACAACAAAGAACTTGGGTCATGTTTGTTTTATGTTTCATAAAACATGGCTGACAAAGATACATCATGTTTATACATGTTTATGCTTCAAGTTTTCAACTTGGTGTGGCGCAACGGATAAAATATCAACACTCATTAACTATACTAGGCATACAATAAAGTATTATAATACCCAACTAGTTCTTGGTTACTTATATTTTCAATGTCAACATTAGATGACCAGACCCATCAACACAACTTGCAATGGAACTAGTTGATAACATTAATATCAACTTTCAAGAAACCATAAAAGATAAATCCATGCAGTAATGGTAACATAACACCAGTAAGATGCTAAATTTCCATACTGTATTGCAACATTGCATAAATCATTAAATACTCTATAAAAGTGAACTAATTATATACTTGGCATATGTTATGTGTGAAAATAATACCTTAATGAATTATACTCCCAATAGTTTGTTATTACAAATGAAAACTAAGAAATTACAGATTATCTTATAAATGAGTATTGAGTCAAACTGCATTACATTGTGAAGTGTCGTAAAATCAGTGTGTAAACAAGACAACAAGAATTACCTTCCTTTAACTGAGACAGATGCTATGAAATGGGATGTGCTGTAACTTATATTGGTTCAGCTCAATTATAATGTTTTAATGCAGAAAAGTTATATTTACAATGATTATGCTATATGCCTAAAGTGTGTTCTTACAAAATATACAACGAAAGTATGCCAAACGATGTACATGAAAATGTGGGAGGTCACGTGACCTCAAATATGAACGATCAGCGAGGTGTGGACAAATAGAGCTTTTTATCCTAACTTTTGCTTGAAAACATTGCCTGAGGAGTGTGTGTACATGTTTGACAGCGATACACATCATATATATCTGTGTGAGTACTAAAACGACAAATGACCTTGACTGTCCTTC